TGTGCACCCCTGGACCTCAACCGCAAGGATCCGATCGCAGTGTGCACCGCTGGACCTCAACCGCTAGGATCCGATCGCAGTGTGCACCGTTGGACCTCAACCAGATAGTTTGCCAGATAAAATCCACAAACACACAATCACAAACACACGACCACAAACGCGCAACCACAAACACACAACCACAAACACAATCACAAACCCACAATCACAAACACAATCACAAACACACAGGTACAAACACAACTACAAAGACACAATCACAAACACATAACCACAAACACAAAACCACAAACACACAACCACAACCACACAACCACTAACACACAATCACAAACACAATCACAAACACAATCACAAACACAATCACAAACACGCAACTACAAACACAATCACAAACACACAACTACAAACACAACTACAAAGACACAATCACAAACACACAACCACAAACATACACACAACACACAACCACAAACACACACACAAACACACAACCACAAACACACAACCACAAACACACAACCACAAACACACAACCACAAACACAACCACAAATACATCCACAAACACAACCACAAACACACAACCACAACCACAACTACAAACACATAATCACAAAGACACAACCACAACCACAACTACAAACACATAATCACAACCACTACCACTACCACAAACACAACCACAAACACATCCACAAACACACAACTACAAACACAACTACAAACACACAATCACAAAGACACAACCACAACCACAACTACAAACACACAATCACAAAGACACAACCGCAACCACAACCACAACTACAAACACACAATCACAACCACTACCACAACCACAAACACACAACCACAAACACACAACCACAAACACAAACACAACCACAACACAGCACACAACCCGAGGACCCACAAGCAACATCGAGAACTACAATACTAACGACTATGGCAACAAGCTCCTCACTATGGCATCAAGACAAATGATTGAAATGTCATGGCGGGGATTACTGGAAGTAAAGTAATTGGTTTTTGGTTTCTTTCGGGTCGGTTTAACGTTGTGTAGGTGTTGTTTAAGATTTAACGTTGGGTGAAGGGTTGTTCAGCGTTGTTTGATGGATTTTCCAAGGGGTGGCTTATAATAGGGTTCATAAAAAGATAGCTTGAACAGCTTGGGTGGCATTCAGTGTTCAGACCGCTTTTGACCGCGTGGATGAATGGATCTTGGCATTGTGCATGTGCTCCAATGGTCACCAAATGCAGTTCAAGACCATCTGCATAGCCCAATTGGACATGATCTTGACGCAAATCCAGCTGAACGCATGGGACAACTTGGGAACCACAGTAAATAGCGCATGCTTTGGTCAACTCTTGCACCACCACGGCACAAGCTTCAGAAAACTTGCCACATAGCAGCTGCTCGGGGGAGGGGTGATGCTCCGTGGTTGTGGTGAGCTGCCTGGCTTTGGTGGTGGGCCTGTGTGCGACACCTTTTTCTCAGCAGCTTCACCTCAAGGACACTCTCTCGTGCCCCACCCAGTCGAGTCAGCCACCCTGTCTCTGACAAGGCGTAGCAACTGATCACATTCAACTTGAGTCGAGCTACCACTACTCGCTGCATGACTACTGGCGTCTTACCTACCTTGAACTCTGGGTCTACCATCCCTGCAGTGGGAAGAATATGATCGTTTGTACCTCTCAGGATTGGAGCTGAACCTGGGTGCCAGTACTTAACCTTGGTGAAGCTTCAACCATTCCTCAGCAACAATGTGACAAGTGGCACCTGAATCTACAAGCCAATGGGTCTTGATCCTTTCCCAAGCCCTGAGTGCTCAACAAGTACTCAACAGGATGAGTGACACTGTGAACTACCGGCTCACACATTATGATCAAACATTGGTCAAAGCACTTGTCACCAGGCGCCGGAAGTGGCGGGTGGAGGTAGTGGAGGCGGCGGAGGCTCTTCATGGAGATGCGATAGACAATCGCGCCAAGCTTCTCAGTGCCGGTGGAATACTTCTGGCACCAGGCGGCTCTCTCACTCAGGTCCAAAGAGGAGATATGAGGGAGCTTCATGCGCTCACTGATCTTCTTACTGGCCTCCACGGCTCGAAAATGGTATTTCCAGGCCAGGTCCAATGGGAACTCGACATAATCATGGGAGAGAGTGGCAGGCGACTCTGCTTCTGTCGGCGCTGGGAGGATGGTGCTTGAACTCCCCGGGACAGCACTTGAAACCTCTCCAGGCTTTGACCTGACAACCATGGCCACTTGGCCCTCCTCAGTCTCAGGTTCTTCAAGGCCAAACTCTTCCCACTCAGCCTCTTCCCAGTCACCTTCGTCACCCTCAACCTCACGAAGCTTGCCTTTCTTGCCCTTGTCTTTTGAGTTCTGGACCACCGTATGCATGTCAGACGTCTCAGACATTTGATCCTTTGCAAGTGAGAGATCCTTGGCAGAGCTGGCCTGGAAGCCAAAGGACCCTGGACACCGGAGGCCGTTTCAATGTGGAAACGTGCGTCGGACGCCCGAAGGGAGCGGGAAGGTATCCTCGTCTCGGAATTGGTCTTCGTCTCGGAAGTGTGCTCCGGCCCGCAGCGGCCACGATGCTTTGAAGGGTCTCGTAGCTGGTGGATGGGTATGGTCCCTATATGGTCCCTCTGGTTGCCAGTGTAGGGTGGTTGCCTTGGTCTCCATTAACAGTTGTGTGACATCCTGAAGTTGATAGAATTTTGCGACATCAAAGATACTACGACCCAAAAAGGCATGATCAAATTCTACGCCCTGGAAGATTAACATGGAACCGGAAAACTACTGGGCATGGTGTTCTATAATCTTCCCGGCCAGGGTGGAAACTTTATTCCATGCGATCCTTACAGCAAATCGTGTGCCCCATTAAAAAGACTGGTACATCTGCGGTCTGGTGTCACCAGTATGCTCCATGCAGTCCAACGAAACACTAAACATAGCACAAAGCATAGAAACTCTTTGTTTCCACAGGAACAACTCCCTCTTCATCAGTCATCCCAGGCACTAGTCATCAGTCTGCTTCCACCTGTGTGACCTGCCCAAAAGGGCCCGACCCACGGACATCACGTCCTGACGCGTCTCACTTCCTCAAAACCATATAAAACCTCATCGACTTACTTCCTCATATCTACTCCCTCTACTCCCTCTACCTCTCACCACCATCCCGGGACCATCCCACCTCCAAGAGTACTCTCAGAATCCGTGGCTCGCTGTGGAGCAACTCCAAGTTCTTGGCCTCGCGTGGCATGGAGGTACGGCTTCCGTCTTCTCGGAAGACTCATGAGGAAAACCCCTAACAGGCTATCTCTCCTCTATAGTGGTTGTCTAGTGGTCAAACGCGAGGAGTCGAGGAGCCGATCTTTTTTTGCGTACCAACGCATTCAAAGGAGTAAGTTAACGCATTCAAATGATTCCCGTGGACCCACCCTCCAACGTCGAAATCGTGGATGGCATGGCCCCTGGAAAGACATAGAAAGACTACGAAATCCACAAAGAAAGGGTTGTCCACTTCTATGTGTGTTTTTGTTGACTCGCCAATAGCCCCTATAGACTGACCCGCCCCAGGTGGTGCTGGTGGCTTTGGACTCCGACTGTGCCGGTGCTTCGATCGCTTGGTGGGAGAAGTCTACCTCCGGACGATCGGCGTGACATCGCTGGCGATCCTCTGGATGACCCACCTGTTTGGTGGCTACCCTCCCTGCAACAATCATGGTTACGTGGACAACCCCCTTCTTGGGTAGAGGAAAGGAGTCTTCCTTTCGGGGCCACTGTCCACTTCCACGATTGTTTCAGGGAGTGTAATGATCTGCAGAGTAGTTCAAGTGGAGAGTCAAGGATGAAGAGATGGAAAATAGACGACAAAGAAAGTAAACACATGACATGTCCTCATGTTCGCCCATGTATATAGCTACAGGATGCTGTAATAGAAAAAAGAAACTGCTGCACATCTTCCATGTGTCCTTCTCTCCGCACCCAAGAAAGGAAATTCGCCCAACAATGATCACACGACTACCCAAAAGGACTCTCACCTCAAAAAGATCTCGCCAAAACATGATCACAACATATCACAACTGAAAACGGATCAGTCCTATATGACTAGAAAGCAACACATCCCAATCCACATCCATCACCACTTTTAACGGATCAGTCCTATATGTAAAAACGCATCCCAAAAAACATCCCAACCTCAACAGCCAAGTTGTGGATCACCAGGACGGCCAAGTTGAAGCACTCCAAGTACTGTGCTGGATCTCCATAGGCCGCCACCTACGACCAAGCCGAGGTCGCGCCGAGCGAGCGGGCGAGCTGCGGAGTGGCTATGGGGTGGAGAAAAGAAACAGCCAGGAGTTACAAAGGGGTGCTGTTTAGTCTCCAAGTGAGTGGATAGTAGGCACCCCCCTAGCCTCCATTAAGTACCCCTTTGTAACTCCTGGAAGTTATATGGATTCCTTTCTTTATAGCTATAGCATGCTATAGCCTTATCATGCTTTATCTAGTCTTCACCCAAAGCTTTCATAGGGGTCCCTACTGTTTGAAGAACATCATCAAATACACCATCTAGAACTCTTAGTCACACACCGCGGTGTTTGCTGGTGCGGAGCTTCGTTGAACAATATACCTTTTTCAGGCTTCCGACCAAATTATCCATCAGCCTTTAACCTGCAAAATGCATCCAGGCGATGCTCCAATTTACATATGCAATTCCTGACTATGCACACACGGGAATGCCGGCAGTCGGGGTTTGGCGGCCCCAACTCGTAAAGTCAAAGAACAAAAGCACATCGCTTTCAAAAATCAAGCACACCACCCTTCGACAAAATGCGATCAGTAGCGTGGCCTTGTGCTTGCAAAATGGATAGACACAGCAGTTTAAGAAACGAAGACCAAGTTTCATGCAAAATGTTCGGGGAACACCAACCCTTTACAGAAGTCTTGAGTCTTTGGACCAACCTCTTTAAGACCAGTGAGGATCAGTAGTTGTCACGGGTCTTGGATCAAAGAGGGTGATATATAGGGTGATGTTTTCTTCCAAGGGCTCATGCCAAAAACGGTTTCATGTGTCGGGTGGCCAGTTCAATTAAAGTCTTTTTCAAAGTACTGTTGGACCAAAATGAAGGAAAATGAAGGCACTGTCCCTACAAGTCCAAAGACCAATGACCCAATAAAACCAGGTCCTTTACCACGTTGAGTTGTGTTCTTGCATGACCAACTCCAATGAAATGTAAAATGAGGTCCTTGACCTGTAGGGTATGTTTGTATACGTAGTCCGTGACTGGCTGGGTGTTGAACTGGCTGGGGCAACGAAGCCCCATTTCCATCCATTTCCTCGTTTTGACGAGCTCAAACCTCCTGAAGGCGCTCACGTCCTTCATCCAGGGCACGGCGTGGGAGACGTGTTCGGGGCTGGCAACATGCGTGAGGCGTGAGGCGTGGAATCGTATACGACCCCACCAAACATGGGTGGAATCGTCTTCCCCCAGAATCACGAAGCCTCTTTCAGGTGTAGGTTTTGGGCTTCAACGTTCCCCCTCTCCATCCGATTCTCGCGCATCACATGCGCATGTTCACGGCAATAGCGGTGGGACCGAGACACCCCCGGCCACATCCAACGTCCCCACCCACGGACGGTCACGTCGGGCGCTGCCTTCTGCACTTGCTCAATCCGAATGTTCCCCACGACTCGCATGCCCTCCTCCTGCTTCTCCTGCGATCGCATCGGCATCTTTCTGGGGTTCCAGTATAAGAGATTAGGCGAAATGACCTTTAAAAGGACCATCTTGGGGTACCTATGGGATAGTTTATACGTAGTTCACAGGGTTCTTCACGATTCTTCAACATCTGTGGCACTTGGCTGAGCTGAGGCACTTCTTGCTAAATCGTGATGAGCCGCACACAAAACCGCCATTTCCCGAAGGGCGGAGGACTAGACTGCAAAGGATTGCAGATTGACCCGATCTAGCATGCAGGCAATTTGACTGCCGGAGGCCTTTCGTCTGCCATTGTCTAGCTCATACTCTATATAAATGCTCTGGCAAAGACTTCAGTTGTCCGTATTCGACACAAGGCAACTCCATACATATGTACTGTGTATGTGTCCAATTCAAACAATGTTGCCGCGTTGCCCGACGCAGCCCACAAATATCCAAAAGACTCATCTTTCCGGATCGGTTAAATTCTGCTGCTGCGCTTGCCCGACTTCATGGTCCCAAGAAACAGGGCGGTAGCTTTCGGAGAAGTGACAGCCCCGCTTTGGTGGTCAGAAAATGGTCCCAGTTTTGGGGCCAAATGATCGACTGAAGAACCCATTTTTGAGCGAGCGCGGCGCTGCTGTAGAACTTTGCAACATGTTTGGAGACAAAACGAAATTACACATTACCAGCGCTGTCCCTTGTCTCACTGCGTGCACGTGCGTGATACTTCGAGGGCCCTCCACACGGAAGTCTTTTCTCAATGTTTTGGGTTTTGGGGGACACCATCAAAGCACCATCAGAGCATGACCGGGACATCACCATCAGAACAAGACCGGGACACCATCAGAACAGGATCGGGACACCATGCAGGAACGTTCGGAGGAGAAACGTCACGAACTGTGAACAGCCCCCCTCAACGATACATCTTGTTCATGAACTCGGATGGTGGCAAAAACATCTGTTTCATTTTGCGACATCAAACTCAAAGATCTGTCGACTCTAATCATTTGAGTGAGGGGGTTCTAGTATGGGTGGTGTTCTGCTCACCCCCAAGGGCGTTGATCATGTGCACGAAACCTTTCAGCTCGACTTGATGGTCAGTGGCAAAGAAGATCTTTGAGCCTCCTGCTAGCCAATTGTCACACAGGTCAATGAGGAGATCCCACCTTAGAATCCTAGATTTGCATCTGCCACAGCTGGCCCATGAGGTCTGGATCTTGGAGCGTGCCCACGTATTTTGGGATGGAATGGACTCTCGGAACTCCAAATGGTTTGAAAGGATTGTCTGTCTTGGAATCTTGGCGCCTAAGCCGATTTCTATGTTGTGTTGTGTGAACTTAAGGATGTGAGGCGTGAGGCCACGAGATCTGGAACCTAGAATCTAGATACAGTGTCTTCTAGCAAGCAGTGACTGCTCATGTCTTTGGCCTAAACTACCAGCTCACATCACTTTAGACCAACCTTCTTCACGTGTGTTTTCACTGCCATCATTCCCTGATCCAATCGGCGAAGATGATCTCTCGCCTCGCGAACGCCACGTGTCACCACCGCTTCCAGGGCTCCGCCCCCCTTCATCCACCCGCGCAGTGCCCCCCGCCCCCGTTCCTTGGAGGGCTCGGGACGGCGCCGGAAGAGGAGCTTCAAGGGACGCGCTTCGAACATGGGTTCGATGTCGCCTCCGCTTGCGTCGTTCGACACGTTCACGTCCAGACGGGCCGAAACGCTTCGGTTTCGGTGGTGGGGGAGTGGAAACCTCAGACGGCACCGGGAAGATGGTGATGGATCATGGTGGATCTAAAAAGGCCTTTCTTCATTCAAAACCAAAAAGTCTTCAATGCTTTCGTGCATCTTTGGCGAACTCAACATACAACTTTCGCGGGGGGGTATATTGGAAGTCTTCTGTGTCCATATTAAATCTTGTTGCAGATCTTTCGTGAAAAAACATCCTCTAGAAAAAAGACAACATAAAGGTTTTGCAAACAACGAGAAAGGCTCTCAATGAACCTCGGCCTTATGTCGACCTTTTGATCAAGTACCACATGAGACTCAGCTTGTGAAGTTGGGTCAAGGTGAAGCTGGGGCAGTGCATTCAACTTAAACTACCTGGACCTTCAAGGGGTGTCCAATGAATGGAGGTCCCTTAGTGGTGTAGGGGCTTCCATTGGTGACCCCTTTGAAGGTGCTGGTACACAACCCCAATCAAAGCTGCAAAGAAGCCTAATTTTTTTTGGGCTCCAGTCGTTTCTAAGAAGATGGGTCTGGGATGGAGCCCTAGGGAAGAAGTACCACCTGTCCTTTTTCTGCACTACCAAGAAGGAGGAACATGTGCAAGGTCTTCTGCAGTGCGCTGTACGCTGAAAAAGTCCTCTGCCCACTTCTTTGACTCTTCCGTCAACTGAGATGCCATGGTCATATCGGATTCACATGGATTTGTCACATCGATCCCTATAAATATAGCTTGTATCTCGCCTACATCTCTCCTATTTTGGTACTATAGCGCCTAGAATAAAGGCAGGCGCCCTCTGCTCGGTCTTTGCTCTTCAGCTCAGCGCCTCAGCTCAGCTCAGCTCGACCCGGCTCCTTCGGCTCCGGCTCTCCGTGCCTTGTTCCAACTCGGTCACGTCGGTGCCGTTCACCTGGGCGCGGTCCGTCCGCGGTCCGGGTGTCAGTGTCGGAGTGTCGGTCCGGACGACGTCATGTGGCATCTTGGTTCGTCGTATTTTGGTTGGTTGAGGTGGATGTTTTGGACAGAACCTGGGGCGGTTCAAGACACAAAAGAATGAAAATCCGTGGTGTTTGCTGAACATTATAGCTTGAAAAAAGGCCTCTCATGCAGGTCTCTCGCATGTGTTTTCTAGACTTGCGTAGCTCATTGCATGCAGTCAATGACCTGTTTGGCAGGACAATACGGGGGGCCATGTCCAGCCCTCCATCATGCTCGACGCAAAATGAAAAGCACGACGTCTCTTTTCGCGGATTGTCCAGGCATCGAAAATGAAGAAGCAACCCCACTATCCAAGCGACCAAGGAAACGTTTAGGATCCCCATACACTTGTCAGAGTTATTCATGGTATAACACGGGCGGGAACAAGAGTTTTTCGTCTAAAAGAAATTAGTGCAATGCAAAAACCTATGATGTCCTTACAATTCACACATGTGTAAAGATCGCATGTCACCAGCAAGAGTGGTAAACAGCTTGTCATGGAAGACATAGCGACATCAACATGGGGCAAATCAATCACAGCTTCTCGACATCACAAACAGGAATCAGGACACACATTGCACTGCATGATGCTGACAATTTTTGTGTTTCTTTGGTGTCCCACACACAGCTCAACAAAACCCTGGTGCACTTCCTACAAAACAGCCATGGTGCTAGTGATGCTCCGTTAGCCCTTTGTTTGTTTCTAGCATTTTCAGTGCCAACGGGCAATATGTAATCAAAAAACAACCATGGTGCTAGTGATGCTCCTTGCCCGTTGCTATTCCAGCGGCTCATGTTTCAGCTCCTTCATCACATGACAACAATGATGCTAATCATGCTTCTCTAGCCCTTTGCTTTTCTAGCATCTTCAAGTACACAAATTTGAAGCATCAACCAACTCACCACAAGTATTGAACTGCTCGCAAGTTTTGAACTTTCTTCAAGCCCCTCCTACTAGAAGACACCGATACAAAGATTCTATCACCAAAACCCGGGCGTTTGTCATCTCCATGTCTCTTTTTTCTTCGACAAACTTAACACGGACTTCCTCGAACCCATTCTCCACGAAAATAAAGGGACCGACTCCGACTTTCCCCCCGCTGCACGCGTGGCCCGCTTCACACACCTTCAACTCTTCACCGCACGCTGCAGTTCATCGGACGGAGCACCTCCACCAGTTCATCGCCCGGACGTAGCTCGGTGCACACGCGCGCCGCGCTGCGGTTGGGCAACACCTGGCGCAAGGAACCGCGTGCGGCACAGAGGTTGGTTCGTTCCACCCGAGGTTGTTGGGCGGTGGGGTGGAGCTTTTCTGTGGTTGGTTCGGTGCGAACTAGGGATGTGAAGGGACCCTGAAGCGAGACGGGGTGTGTGGACCACTGACCACCTAGCCATGATGAAAATCACCAAGTGACTTGAGGAAGAAGTGTGGAAGTTGTTACTTTGGATGATCAAGGTCTGCATCCAACTTCTTGATCAAATTACTTCTTGGGTACGTCTTCACCCCGTCTTCAGTCTGTGGATTCCTCATAAGTGATCAAGAAGTGAGTAAGGAAGTGGACATCTCTTGGAAGAAAAAACACATCCACTTCTGATTGGGGCTTTCAGGGAGTTGGAAGGAGACGAAGAAGGGAAGGCTTCTCATGTGTTGTGCGTACGTGTTTCTCACCTACCAGCTTCACCTAGCAATCTCAAATGATTTGGATTGTTTGGTCATTATAGTCTTGGCCAAGAAACTGTGGTGTGCTTTGAATCCCATTGATGTCGGTACGCATGGAACTAAAGTTGCAAGTGCATAGAAGTTACTGCTCTGTGAACCTTGCGGAAGATGTTTCACCTGGTACTCAAGGTGTTCTAAAGCATCAGAAGTCATGCATGCCAGCCACTAAAGTTGCATAAGGTAAAGAGTCTAATGTAGCATCAGTCCAATCTTGTGGATTTGAAACTGCAAGTTGTCACTTAAGCAGGTTGCGACTTGGACATCCTATCTTAAGCATCTCGTGACTTGGAGATACTTCAAGTCTCCGATCATCCGATCTTCAAGAATCTCTACCCAATAGAGCTTGTGTGACGAGGGGGCTGCAACCACTGTAGGTGGGGACCCTAGATGCGGACGTCTTGGAGGCAGCCCGGAACAATGTGTGTCCGTTCTGCTACGCCCGGAAGGGACCACAGCAGGCACCACCCGCAACAGGACTCAAATGCACATTCCCTACAATGCACCCTTCCCTTCTTCCAACAAACCTGGTATTTGGGAGCTCTAGGAATACATTCGCAGGTGTAACTCACCAAGCATGGTGAAACAATTGTGAAACACCTCGAGTTTCGACGCAAGAAGAGGGGGCCAGCTGCCATCATCCGAATCATACAGGCCCATCAAGCTTCTGTGGTATAAACCAACCGGTTCACCCTCCAATTCTTGGGCAGTCAAAAAAAAATGCAGGAATTCGACGGATTCGTGAATGTTGACGGACTTTTTTTGAAGAATCACCTGAAACCCCAGATCTCGAGGTTTTTTTGATTGTGGTCAACCCTTTGGCTGGCGGGGGGCCAGGAAACATGTTGCTTGCCTGTTTAAAGATCCACACATTCCAGGAGAAAATGTGTGGTTTGAACATCACCAAGAAGGGGAAAAAAATACAACCGGTTTTTTAATGTCATGAGATGACCAAGATCTTTTTACACTCCCTGGGAGAATCATGGGCGCCAACGTGGATGGAAAACGTCCCCAAAGATGTTGGATTGAACCTGACCCCATGAGTTTTCCTCGAAGAAAAGCAGCTGGTGGTGCTGGTCCACTTCCACCACCACCATGATGATTCCCAAAACTGTCAGATCTTCCCTGCACCTTTGTTTCCTCTCTCTATCCGGCCTTCGACAGCTGTGGTGGCAATTCCCAGCCAATCCTGGCGGGAACAACGGTTGCGCTGCGAAGATTCTCATGGAGCAGACTTGCAGCTTGGAGGTGAAGAAACCTGAGATAGGAGGAGTGAAAGCGAGCACATTTTACAACGAACATGACGTACGCAGAATTTGTCGTGGATTCTCGACTGCCAAGAAACCCTGCACTTTTCATGAGTTCATCGGCTCAATGGTCTGGAGATAGAGGGTATGTGCAATCCAGGTCGCGGTTCACAGCGGCCACTCAGCCACTCAAGGTCTGCCCGGCTGTTTGCAAGCCACCCTTAAGCGTGAATACTTCCAGTATCTTCCAGTCACTCTGCTACCATACGACCTACTACCTACTGTATTTTCAGGCTCAACCACAAACCACTAAAATACAATCAAATTACCGCTAAGCTGCAACTGCAAGCGCTCCTTTTTGACGCGGATGAGCTGCGTGCTTGAGCCAAATTGGCACACATGCGTAAAAGCATAGCATTAAGTGATGTATTTCAACACCCCCCTCTGCTTTCGCAAGCGACGCGCGAATTAGCAGCTGTCATCGGGCTGAGCGATGATGCCAGCGTGAGCCTTCTTTTAAAGGTCACTCTATGGCACCTGCTCAGAAATGAATGCAGCTCGAATTTTCAGCCTCCATGCCGCCAACTGCCAGTTGACCAACGCCCATCACGCTCACGGGTCCACCATTGGCCGTTCCAAAAGGTGTAGTGCCCCCAGGTGTCACCATCCTGCGGCTCTCGGGAGGAGCGTGAGCCGTGAGCCCCTTCGCGTGCATCACGCGTGGACCTGGCTTTTGCTCTTGGCACGGTCGACGATGGCATGACTGGAGGTGCCTTTGGTGGAGCATTTGATGCTGCTTTGGGCACTGATGGTGGGTACTTTGCAGTTGGCATCTGGCGTACATCAAACGTTCCGATCTGATTGATGTTGGCTCTTGGGGAGACCTCCATCTCAGGCTCTGCGGCTGGGGCATCCTGCTGTGGAGGCGCGGCTTTGGGCGGAGTCTTTGGTGCTGCGACCAATGCTCTGCTGCTTTTGCCACGGCCCTTTGCTTCGTTCCTCTCAGCCGCTTTCTCACTCTGGATACGCTTGTTGCGCACCAGCTGCTCTGCTACTGGCAGCGAGCTGTCGATGGATTGATGTAGCTCCCGCATGGTGGGCGTCTCAGTTGCTTCCATCACACACGTGAAGGTGAGGAGCTTTGTGGTCTTGCCGCGTTGATGCCGACGTTCACATAGTTCTTGGAACTCCTTGAGGCTGTAGAGGTCCCTTCCCCAGATCACGGCCCAGTGTGGGTCATCGAATCTGTCGTTCAGGGCTCTATCGCTGTCAGTGATGCTGCTGATGTCCTCATCGATGTACATGAGCTTGGCAAACTCCATATCATGTGCTGTCTTGAGACCAATGCCGTAGTCCACCTGGGTCTTTGTTCTTGGTGGCATTGGTAGATGCCCATGTCCAGCAATGTCTCTCAGCTGAATGTCCTGGAGTGTGATTCCGTGCTCAGTCATTCTTTCGATGAAGGTGACATCATTCTCATACCTGTCAGCCATTGAGGTGTAGCCCAAGCCAATAGCCCTTTTGACCTGCTTTCGTGCGGTCTCAACGAAGTCTCCTTCCGGGCTTCTCATGCCACGGCCAGATCCCTCGCGGAACTGCTTGCTCTGGCCACCAAGCCGCTCGATGGTGTCGGCATTGAGGTGATCATAGCCAAGGCGCTTCAGCAGTTCTCGCCGCTTTGAAATGAGACTTTGCTTGACCTTGGGAGTTCCTGCGATGTTGGTGTTGCAGGCTGGGCAAACGATGGGGCCAGTCACGAGGTTGGCTCCACACCCAGGGCACATCACCTCTTCTGTAGGAATGTTCTCCCTTTGAGTCTCTTGCGGTGGCTCGGGGTTCACGACCTCGACATCCTCCTCAGCTTCGGGCTCTGCAGTTTCAGGACGTTCTCTCTTCTGTGTGTTTGATCCCATTGCAACGTCTGCGCTCTCCTCATGGCTCGCTGCGGATGCTGCAGATGCAGCAGTGGGCAAGTCCTGAAACATATGCGTCATGAAATTCCCAACCGTTTGCTCGCATCCTTTCGAGCTCTGTGACCAAGTACAATTCTGCGGCAGCAGCTTCTCGCTGATGTGTTGGGGGGTCACGCAATGCAGGTACGAAAAAATTTTTGTCGTCCTTGGAAACTTGGGCACCAGCCCCGAGGTAAGCCTGAGAATGATCAGGACTTACCAAGACTCCGATGTCACAGAAACGGATTGATATGTTTCTGTGAGTTTTGATTTTTTCTTGTAGTTTTCCTGTTTTTTCTGGGAATGCTTTACAAGCATCAGGAGTCAGGAGCAGCAGAAAGGCCAGGGCTCGGGTTGTTAACAAAAGGCATGCACCGTTGGAATTGCACCTTCCTCCTCTAAATATTACCCTCGGGTGGCTCACAAAAGGTAAGCGCCGTTGGCATGGCACCTTCCGCCTCTAAATTATACCCTCACGTGGTTCAGAAAAGGTATGCGCCGTTCCACTGGCACCTTCCTCCTATAAGTTTTACCTCAGGTGGCTCACAAAAGGCACACACCGCAGGAATGGCACCCTCCTCTAAATCTATTCTCATGCACCGTTGGAATGGCACCTTCCTTCTCTACATTTTACCCTCGGGTGGCTCAAAAAAGCTCCGCGCCGTTGGAATGGCACCTTCCTCCTCTAAATTTTTAACCCCAGGTGGTTCACAAAAGGCATGCACCGTTGGAATAGCACCTTCCTCCTCTAGATGTTACCCTCGGGTGCCCGCAAAAGACATGCACCGTTGGCATGGCACCTTTCTCTAGATTTTACCCAACCGAGTTGCTCACAAAAGGTCACAACAGGTATGCACCGTTGGAACTGCACGTTCCTTCTCTTAATTGTCCCCTCGCTTGGCTCATAAAACGAGTGCATCGTTGGAATGGCACCTTCCTCCTTTAAAGTTTGCTTGAAATTTTACCCTAGAGTGGCACACAAAAGGTTTGCACTGTTGGACTAGCACCTTCCTCCTCCAAGCTTTACGGGCAGCTTTGGAAGCGTAGGATTGGAAGCTGGCTTGCAGCAACACACGCTAGACCCTGACCACTGCAAGCAGCGCAGCTTTGGAAGCTGGCCTCTTGCAGCAGCACAGGGTCTTTACTGCAACCGGCGCAGTATATCTTTTGGGCATAGTGCCCAGGTTGGTCAAAAGGCAGATTGGGTGCATCTTCTACCTGGAACCTTCGGTTTGAACCCAAGAAGCATCTCGTTTTCTGTTGGAAACCTGGTTGGGAGTGGGGAAGCACGCCAGCTTTGGATGTGCCCTCACAGGAGTACTGTGATGACATTACCTATAGAATTCATCTGACTCCTCCAGACCCCTCCAGACCCCTCCACCAACAAACAACCACATGGAAAAACACCTTCATTGAATTTCTTTGAGATTTTAGGTACTTGTTATGTCAAAAAGACTGCCCTTCTGGTCTTCAGTTTTCTTTCACCCAGGCTCCTTCACACCTCCACCACCCCACTACCACCAGCCCCAGAAAACGGAAAAAGGACTGGGCGGCCCGTCCTCAATCCCAGTGGTGGTGCATCTTCTGGCTCAAAGACCACCTCACCGCCGTGGCTTCGTCTCTCTGAGGTGTCGAAGAGCTCAGGACCCGACTGCTTCGACTATCGTACCCCAGGTGACGGGTCCTAGAAGGTGAGGTATCTGAGGCTGGAAGTCTTTTTGTGGTGCTTTTGGTGAAAATGGGATGAAGGATGAGGATGGGCTTCAATGACTTTATGGCCGGAAAGCAGCTGCCCCAGTTTCCAAGGTCCTAGTCACTAGTCCTAGGCAAAAGGCAGGAAGACTTGCTGTATCTGGACCCCCATATCGCTGCTTTTGTGCTCACACTCTGGTTCTGTACCCTAAATAATTGTGATACTGAATAAAGCACAAAATGCTTCATGGATTCAACAAAAAACCCTTTTACTCAACAAAACTCCTCAGCATGCTGACTCCAGGCATTTTCCTCCAACAGTAACTGATGCATGCCTTTCTCAATCTAAGACCAATCATCCTTTAATCATGGAAGAATCCGCCTCCCCATCCCAATCCCTTTTCATGTGGGTCCATCCCCAAAAAAGAAACAACCTGATCCAGCACTCGCCCAATGAAAGGAGAATCTTAAAGTCAGACTTAGGTACACCCTGGGGAGTCTCTGGTTTACTAAATCAGAGATTGAGTCACACTGGTTTTCTCTTCAAAAAGGACCGATATTCTGAATACCCCCGCCTCCCCCACTCTTGAATGCTGCCACCAACAAACTATATATAGCGGCATACCTTGCAATATCCCAAAATGCCTCACCTTCACCACTTCACCTCCTCGCTCCAGGCTGCGATGCGTCTTATCGAACTACCAATACCACCCCCCGGGTCCGTCTGCCGGGCCTCGTAGTAGTCGAACTTATCCTCGTCCTGGCCGAGCTCCGAGCTCCGGGAGGCATCGGCAGGCTGCAGCCGGGGAGACCCTTGAGACCCCGGAAGCTGCAGCCCCTCATGGCTTGGATTGGCTGTCCAGGAAGCTGGGGAAAAGAACATCTCCTCCTGAGAAAGTGGAGTCGTCCAGTGATCCGGAACAAAGAAGGCAATCCACTCCAGAACCACTAACAGGATTAGAAAGCAAATCCAGTGCCTAGTGCAGAAGAGTTGCAAATCACCCTGTGCAAATCCAGTCTAATTATAGGACCTATCCAGGAGATGCCCCTGTGTGAGATCGACGCTGAGCTCTGACATCGAGACTCTTTGGGCTGGGCAGGACGCACCTCGGACCCGGAACGGTCTGTCATCCATCAAAGGGGAGGCCGAGACGGGAACGGAACCCCAGCTCCACGCATCGAGGACTGTCGATGTTCGGAACACATGGGTGCGGAGTGGTGAGGTGAGTGAAACACCCATGGGATGAAGCGGTGGGGGCGCCCATGGGTCGTCCATGGGTGAACGGTTCCGGTTCCACAAGATGTTTCACTCGTCCATGGGTCGTCTGAGAGTCACATCCTACCGCCGGACCAGGTTCACCCTCCACCAGGTGACCAAAGAATGAACACCCTGCGGAGAACACGGGCACACTGTACATCAACCTATTGGCAAAGTCTGGTGAACACCTTTCCCAAAAATCTGCGTCAACTGGGGTCGTCATTCCCAGATAAGCTTGAACAGTACAACACAAAGTACATGAAAGCACCCAAAACCACTTTTGATGTTTGCAGCTCGGCGAAAAATGTGAGTCTGGTCCAATATCTCTGAAGATCATCCAAAAAAAACAACACATGTTCGAGGTCTCATCTTGGGTTTTTGATCTAGCCATGTCTCACTATGAGGTGACACGCTAGCATTGTTTCACCCAACGAACGACACCAATTCACTCACAGTTTTCATGAGACAGTCGTCCGAGGAGGTCGGGTCCTGTCTGAGTCTGAATTTCGAAAAGTGTTTCTTCTTCCACCACCTGTTTGAAGCCTCCAGAGTCGGCCTGAACAGAAAGAACAAGATCCCTCTGACAAGATCCGAAGAAAACCATCGATGTTCATGTCTGCTCATCCGCTGAATTTCATCTGCATGCCGCAAGTTCTCTGGACCTTGCACCTGAAAGAAGCCTCATGGTTCACATCTCAAGTGGCGGTTCATATAGGGTCTCGCCTGACATTGTCTGACCGGGATTTGAACCCAAAGGGTATCTTTCAAGCATTCCCCCTCCAAAAAATACATGGTGGTTGTATTGTGTTTGTAGCTGAATCTATCGCAAAGCCTTGGACCAACCCTTTTCCCTTCCACCACATTCCTCACCTTGCTGTCCGTCTTCAACTTCACCTTGGAGGGCAGCCAGCTTGTCACGGCGAACCTTCTGCGAACCGGCCCCACTGGAGTTGGAGGATGTTTCAAGTTCGGGCGGTTTCAATTGGATCGAATCAAGCGAATCCAACAACAAATTATGGTTGGTATATATATATAATGTGTGTTCCACTTCTTACTTGAGGATGGCTAAGGTTGGGAGTGGTCCCCGTGCGAGGGCCAACTTGCCCGGGCCCGCACGCCCAACACTTCCTGCGGGTTCGCGCTGGGTTACTATATATATATGTGAATTTGTATGCATTGGAACATGCATATCATGATATGAGATGGCGGCCCTCTCATGTGACCATTTTGGCACAAGGGCCCTTGAGTCTGGCTCATCCGAGCCCCCGACGGTTGCGCAATGGAAAAGTGAGCGTACCGCTTGCTTTTGATCGTGACGGAGTTCTTTGATCCCCGTTGGTTGAGTTGTGACAGTTGCCTTTACAAGTTGCTGTTGATCCTCCGCTCACCATTTTACATGGTAGCGGAGCTGCCAAGCTCCAGGATTGCTTTGTGAGGTCCCGGCCTGATCCCGGGTGCGGTGCAAACCGCAGAGCAGCTCGTGCCATCTAGGTACATTGCTTGTGCAGTGGTGCAAAGTTGAGTTGACGTTGATTGTTGAGCATTGACATTGATTGTTGGTTGTGGAACATTGTTGTTTGTTGTTGGCAGTTTGAGCCATGGACTACAAAGACACTCTCAAAGACCTCTACTTCGATGGGAAGCCAAGCGGATATCGTGAGTTCAGACGCAAGCTGATCCTTGGTGTTGCATCCCTTGAGGACAAGCAACAACACCTGGCCGGTCCTCGAGTCCTCGGAAGATTGTCTGGCGAAGCTTGGAAAGCGACCGAAAACATTCCAATTGCTGACCTTCGATGTGAACAAGGCTGGCTGCAAATTGTTCGGACGCTTGATCAGCACTATCGTTATTTGCCCGAGACCGAGCTCCACGAGGCCATAGATGAGTTCCTTTTTGGGTTGAAGCGGAAGGGACATGAGGGAGCCACTTCCTTCACCTCCCGGTTCAAGACAAGTCTGCATCGCCTGGAAACGCTCATCTCACAGGAGCGTCAGCTGTCCAAGAAGCAACCGAAGTCCGCAGTCGAAGAAGAAAAGAAAAAGGAAGATTCGAGTAGTTTGGAAGAGTCGGACGAACATGCCCTACCTCCAGACGATCCCAATGAACAAACAGATGAAACTGAACAAGAAGTTGAAGATGAAGTCCGGCCAGAAGCCAAGGCCAGAGCAGCACCTCCTCCAGGTCCTTTTGATCCTCCCCTTGATCCTCATCGTCGGACCGGATCCACTCCATCGGTCCGAAGTGCGAAGTCGAGCTCAAAGGCTTCACAGGGGAAGTCCACTGGGACTCAGAAAGGTGACCAGCGAAAAGATCATCTCCGTATGCAACGTCTTCTTGGAACGTTGGAGCAGTCGCATACAAAGCCAAAACCGATTTTTCCACAGTCAGTTTTGGGACACTTGTTCATGAGAAAGTTTGGTTTGTCGCGTGAGCAACGCAGCCACATCATTCGTTCAACAGGCGGCTCCAGTCGATTTGTTGACATTGAGAAGATTTTGCGTGCTAGTGACTATGAGGAGAGATTGGATGACCGGCGACCACGGCTGGACGATCGTCGACAGGTGAGACCACGACGCGAAGCCTATGCTGTTGAACAAGTTGCTGAAGCTTCATCCACCTCCATAGACCCACTTTCTGACTCCGGGTCTGGTGAAGAGGCCTACCAAGTTGAGGGTGGCGAAACATCTCTGGGTTCAGGTTCTGAGGAAGAGCTGCAGGAGATCTATGAGATTCAGAAGAAAGCAAAGAAAGAATTCAAGAAACAGTTTCGCACCTACAAGGAGTCAAAGAAGAAGGTGAGGGAAATCAAAAGAGCACGACAACCATACATGCCGGTGGTGGCCATTCCACCCACCGAAGGCGGCCAGTCCCAGGCTCCACTGGGAACTCAGGCTGCATCGTCCAAAACACCACGCTATGAGAAAAGGTCCTTTGACAAGAAGTCGCCACAAAAGGACCCAAAGAAGAAACCACCGAGGCGTGAGGACGCCAACCTGACAGAAGCTGTGGAAATTGTTGACAGGACATTGACCGAGTTCAACTATGCCCTGACCGAGTCCACCGCTGCTGAACTGGAAATTCTCCTGGCCTCAATTCCATCGGGTTTTGCAATCATTGATACTGGTTGTACAACATCCGTTGTTGGCGAGGAAACAGCACAGAGATATGAGCAGGTTTTCAGACAATGCAATTTTCCTCCACCCGTGCGTGTCACAATGCCTACAGTTGAGCTTCGTGGCTTCAATGGTCAGAGCGAAACAACAGCTGTTGGTTTGAAGTGGACAGTACAGCTGGGTTCGTTGAAAGGGAATATCACGACATATGTTGTTCCTGGAAGCGCGCCATTCCTGCTGTCACGAAGGGTGTTGGAGGGTATGCAGGCCACACTGGACTTGGGCCGAATGACCATCACGAGTCCAAAACATGGTATGCAAGATGTACCCCTGAAACAGGCCGCAAATGGCCATCTGCTGTTGTCTCTGGTGCCACAGGTTGCTGAGTGGGAGACAGTCCTCAACGACTCGAATACAAATGAGCCCAATCCGCATGAAGCCCAAGCGATGGACCGCCAGTCCATCTCCGTTGATCTCCAGCACCACCAAGACCTCAAAGGACAGGACGCGAACAAAAACAGTGTTTTAAGTGCACCAAAAATGGAGCCAACCCCGTGTGATACTCGGAGGGCGTTTCAAACTGTTTGTAAACATACCAAACGAGGAAACGTCGATTGCAGTGTTTTTCGTGCCGAACTGTCCCAGTTGTTTTCATGTCCCGAATACCAGGTGGTGCATGCCTATGTAGCATATAAACCTAGACTAGAAAGGATTCCTGCCGAAGCCGAACGAACTTCACTTGATATGAAGATAGTCTCTATGGATAACGATGGAAACATGCACATGTCAGGATGGATCGTTCGTCCAGCCGGACGGGTCAGAAGACCTGTCAACCCAATGCAGGTTGCGATCTTTGCATTTCGATCCGAGCAAGCACCCTCTGAACCTGAGAGTGCCGGCAGTGAGTCCGATCGTGTCGAACCAGCAGAGCCGACGCCATCAGCGCACCAATGTGATTGTTGTTGTAATGATGACATAGAAGGGGATTGGGAATACACCATGCAATCAAACACCCTCGAAACTTTGTATGAAGAGGTTGACTGGGTAGATCTTGACTTGCAGGATGTTCCAAAAGAAACCCAAACGAAACTGAGAGACGCAATCACAGCGGCACGCCGTGTCGGTGTACGCATGGCTTTGTCGCGCTTGCAGAGCAATCGGCAGGAAGTGCTTTCAGAACTTCGCCACTGGTTGGGCAACCAGGCTAGTAAACTTGACTCCAAGGTTGGACTCATAGAAGTTTTCACAGGAACAGCCAATTTGCCCAAACAGTTCGAAAAGAGAACCCAGAAAACAGCAATCCAAATTGGGATAGATTATGGACATGATCTTGGTAGGTTGAGGGGTAGACGAAATCTCCTATACCTGGTAGCCTTGACAAAGCCTGATCACATTTGGTTTGCTC